ATTAAGTAATGTGTGCCTGCTATGTAGCAGCCTTTTGTGTTTGGCCTTGGGAAACATCAGTGAACAAGATAAAGCCTGCCATCAGTCTCAATAAACACAGAGACAAAAGAAACAATTTCATATAGTGGTAAGTTTCATAAACAAAATAAAAGATGGTAATGGGAAAGAGAGTGAAGAGGAGAGGAGAGGAGGGAGATTACTTTGGGCCTTGAGCGAGTGCCCCTCTTAGGAGCAGATTTAGGAATGGAAGTCTGGTGGTAAAAAGGAGGCAGTCAGGCAAAGACCTGGGAAATGATCATTCCAGGCAGAGTGAAGAACAAGTGCAAAGGCACTGAGGTGGGGATTACTAGGGACAGAAACAGCAAGTGTGGTTGACATGAAGTTCACAAAGGAGAGTGGGGAATGAAGCTGGAAAGGAAGGCAGAGGCCCCACCCTGAAGGGATTTCAGGTCATGGTAAGGAATTTGCCCAGAATTTCTTTTCCTTTTCCTTTTCCTTTCCTTTCCTTTCCTTCTTTCTTTCTTTTTTTTTTTTTTGAGAGTTTTTTTGCTATAGGGCATGTGCACTTTCCAAAAAGACAGAGAGAGACAGAGACAGAAAATGAGAGATGACCCCCTGGGAGGATGGCCATGTTGCAATCCCTTCTCCACTTGGGATCTTGGGCATGCAGGCACACATGCCCGGCGTGAGTTCAAGCCACCGGGTCTGGGACTCAAAACACAGTGTACTACATGGGAGTTCAGTGACATAGCCATCATGCCAACTGCTGGTCCCTGTCCTGAATTTCAATGGGAAGTTATTACAATATTTCAACAAGCTGATGCAACTAAGTATATGCTTTATTTTTAAATAAATAAAAAAAAATTGCTGGAGAGTGCATATATTCACTGGAGAGAGGTGGGGGGAGGGAGGAGGTAAATGAGAAAACATCCTACATGTGGAGTGGTTACGACACAATCTCTCCTCTTCCAGTTCTCTCTACTTTCAGGATTTTGGACACACACACATGCAGCTAGCATGTACCTCAAGCTAATAGTCCAGAACTTGAACCACCCAGTTGGCCATGTGGGGATCCAGCCCCTTTAACCACCTTGCTGTGGGTTGGCACAAGCATGTGCTTTAGAAGATCATCCTGGTTGCTGTGTAGATTTTAGGGCAGCAAGGGCGGGCACAGGGACATCAGTGAGGTTGTTGCAGAGGTCCATTCAGGAGAGGCAGAAAACTGGGTGAGGGTAACATGGGTGGAGAGGGTGGGAAGTATTTTGGAATTAGAGCAGTCAGGACCAAGTGGTGGGTGAGGGCAAGAGAAGCAACAGATGACGACTGGATTTCTGGGCTGAGTCACTGATGGCTGGTGGTGGGTGCTATTGACTAAGATGGGGAGGAGAACTTTTGGGGAGAAAAATCTTGAGTTCTGTTTTGGTCACATTAAGATATCATGAGATATCCAAGTGGAGATATCCAGTAGGTAGTTGAATAATAGCCCAGTGTTCAAGGTTGGAAATACACAGATCAGGACACAGGTGGTATTTAAAGCCATCAGATAGAATGAAATCACCAACGAGAGCATGCAGGTGAAATCACTGAAGAGGGTGTGCATATGAAAGATTGGAGAGCTCTAAAGCTCTCTAATAGACAAAGGAGCCAGTAAAGGAAATAGAGGAAAAGGACCAATGACCAAGGAGAAAAGCCTAGAGAGGCCTAGAGAAGAAAAGGCTTTAGGAAATAGGTGTCACCTGCTACAGAGAGGCCAAATTAGAGGAGCTTAGAGACCAGAGAATTGGGTGACTGAGTCTGGGTGGGTGAGATGAAAGTCAGTGGTGACTTTGATGAGTCTTTCTAGTGGCCTGATGAACATTAAGGCTTGACCAAGGTGGGTTTCAGAGAGACTGGAGATGAAAAAGTGTAGAGAACAAGAACAGCTAACCTTCTGGAATTTGTTCTGCTGATAATGTGAGCAGACATACTACAAGAAGATAGAAGGGACTTACGGTCATGGAAGAGTTTCTTTCTTTTTCTTAATGTAGGTGATTATAAAGCAAAGAAAGTAGTGACAGAGAAATTGATAAGAGAAGAGAGAAAAGTTCTTCCATGAGAGTTTATAGTCACTAGGCATCACATCCCACATTAGTTTGGAGTGTTTAAATATATATTTTTTTAATTTTAAGAATTATTTAATTTTATTTATTCATTCATTTATTTTAATTTGACCAGAGAGAGAGAGAGAGAGAGAGAGAGAGAGAGAAAGCCAGCCTCTGGGTCTGGGACTCGAATTGTGGTTGGCCATTTGGGAGTGCCCACTGCCTTAACTACTGCACCACCTGCTGGTCCCAAGCATGGAAGTGTTAATTGGTTTGTTTTCTAATAATAGCCAAGATCAGTTATTCTGAAGAAATGGGGACTTTGGGATGTCAGAGGCCTGCAGAAAGTTTAGAGCAACATGAGTTTAGAGAAACGCAACATGCTTTGAATTTCAGGCAATTATCTTGCAAGCAAACTTCTGGAATATAACCAATTTCTAAGCTTAGGAGTGCCTAGATTACATTAGAAGCAAGGGAAACTGGCCAATTTAACAGGGCCAGTGAGCTGAATAAATTAATTTATATGATTCCAGATTTCTTTTCTTGGTAATCGGAATAAAGCCCAAGGCTAAATGTTGTAACTGTGGCTTGTAGGTTCACACAGACAATACTGCACACTGTGAAGAGAATAAGAGAAGGGAGGGAGGAACGGAGCCTGTGGCTTCTGCTGAAATTGTAAATACAGATGTCCCACTTTACAAGGATATCTGCTTTGAGGTAACTGCTAAGTGGACTTAAAGTCATGTAAGATTCAGGAATACTGGGTTGGTGAACTGTGGGAATGCTTTCTTATGAGTGCCTAGTAAGAAAATTCCCTGGGATCTTAGTTAATAATAAATAAATACATGCAGGGTTTGCCCACAGTACAACGATTAAGATAGCCAGATCCCACATGGTCAAGCATGGTTCAAAATCCCAGCCCAAGTAATTTAAAAAAAACATGCTGGAGGGTGGGGACCAGCAATGATGTAATGGTTATATCGCTGGACTCTCATGTAGTAGACAACGGTTCTAGTCCCAGGCCCGGTGTCTTCAAATTCACTTTGGGCACGTGTGCGTGTGTGCTCGAGATCACAGGAGGAAAATGAAGGAGAAGGGACTGTGGCATGACCATCCCCCCCGGGGGGGGGGTGATTTCTTGTTTTCTGTCTCTCCAGTGAACGCATGTGCCCTATGGCAGAAATCTCTCTTAAGAAAAAGGAAAAAAAAAATGCTGGATAGATGCATCTATCAAATCCTGACAGGATGGAGAAATGAAGAATAAAGGATTGTGGTGTGACCATGACCCACTGGAGGGTGCTTTGTCTCTCTAGTAAGTACACACATTCTCTCTCTTGAAAAAAATAATTTTTTTTTCAATTGAATAGATTCTAAAAATTATTCCAAGTTATTTGAAATTATTGGGCTTTCAATGACTTTTGGCCATTTCTTCAACTGGACATGTCCTTGAAGTACAAATATGTGCCACCAGTGAGGGAAGTCAAAGGAATGTCCCAAGCCTCGGTACCACTTCGCAAAACACACAGAATTCCAGCGCGTTTTGCTAAGTGGAGCCTCTTAGGAGCAGGCATGATCTCTCAAATCAATGTATAGATGAGGCTGATACTTTTTTGGTTGTGCATGTTTTAGTAGACTTGTTTAAAAAAAAAAAAAACTGGGACCAGCAGATGGCATAATGGTGTCGTTGGACTCCCACATAGTCGAGCATGGTTCAAGTCCCAGACCCGGAGGCTTCATACTCATACCGGATGTGTGTGAGTGTGCCAAAAATCCTGAGAGGAGAATGGAGGAGAAAGGGACCGTGGTGTTGACATCACCCTTGGGGGGGTGGTTGTGATTTCTCATTTTCTGTTTCTTTGTCTCTCTCTGTCCCTCCAGTGAGCACATGCACACTATAGCAAAAATCTCCCTCTTAAAAAACCCCACAAAACTTTATTTTTCTGAATCAAATATTATATGGATTTCCCTAGCTCTAAATGTTTTAAAAACATTTATGATGGGGATTAGCAACACTGCTGACATTTTAGACTTAGGCAGCTCAGAATTAACACTCAAAATTAATTTTTCAAACTCTAGCAGTTGAACTAGGTGTTCTTATAAGTAAAGAAATTTCTAATTATGTGAACAGAATTTCAAAATAGAACTAATGCTTTGGGAACAAGCAGCATTGTTCACTTGATCAATTCCAAATGTGATTTGTTTGAAGGGAACATTCATTTACATTTTTTTTTTCTGGAGTACTTGCTGAGCAGAAAACTCAACCTCCGGGATTTGCATTCATACGTAAAAAAAAGCCATTTCTACACCATGACTTCCATAAAGTCTCATGAACTCTCTGAGGAATGATGACAAGAAGGCATACTTCTCCCTATATTCTCATACTCCAATAAACTGAAGCAGGGAGCAATTTATTTGGGAGTTTAACTCAGGGTTACTTGTATTATATCAGTATTTTATCAGCTATACTGTACTTCTTATAGATATTACATAACAAAAGAATTAGCCTGATTTAATCATTTCACAATGTAAATACATATCAAATATCATATTGTACTCCATAAATATATATTTACAATTATTGTTTGTCAATTAAAAATAAAATACAAGGGCCCACAGGTGGTGTGGTGGATAAAGGCACTGGAGTCACACATGGCCAACTGCGGTTCAAGTCCTGGACCTGGCAGCTTGCTTTCTTGCTTTCCCTTTCTCTCTCTCTTAAAAAAGATAATAATAACAAATGGAATTAAATAAATAAACAATTCTTTAAAAAAAGTACAAACAAAATAAATAGATATTTTTAAATTTTGCAAGCATGCCTTTCTCACCCATGTGATTTAAATGATACTGTGCTATATACTAGACATCTTTTTCGTTGGTAAGTATGTGACCACTCAACAGGGTGATATTTATGTAACTTACACAAACATGCCCTCTGGGGTCATTCGTCCAGCTTGAATTAAATAGATTCCAAATCGAAATCCTGCTGCGTAGGCAAAATATACAAAGGCATGGCTGAATGCATAACAGCTTCCAATGATCTGTGCTTTCTTCAAGGCATTTCTGAAATGCACAAAATTTACCAAACAGTGGGGCATAAATTACAGCAAGGTCAATTTAATAAATGTAACGAATATAGAGAACTTTGAAATGTTATGATTTAGTAGCCATCCATTCTTCTAAGGATTAAAGAGAAAACTTTTTTTTTTTTTTTTTTTTTACTATTGAGGATTATAGAGAAAATATATTGAAAATTATTATAAGAAAGTAGATATTTCTCTATAACTATTTACTCTACAGTTCAGTGTAAGAAAATTTCCTATATATTTTCCAATGAATGGACAAAGACTATGAATGGATAGCTAATATAAGAGTTCAAGTGGTTGGCTTAGAAGTATTTAGAATTAGTCTCTAATTATCATAATCTTTTGTAAATAGACTAAATAGTGGAAATTATTTGGGTTGTATCAACAGCAAGTATGAGTGCAAAAGAAAACAAAGCTACTTCTCTGATAAAGTTATATAAAAAGTGTTACTAAATCAATGTGATAGAAGGACTGGTCTAGGGACCAGCAGGTGACACAGTGGTTAAGGCACTGGATTCCCACATGGCTAACAGCAATTTTAGTCCTGGACCTGGCAGCTTGCCTTCTCACTTTTTTTCTCTGCATCTGTCTTTCTCTCTATCTGATGAGTGCATGTAATCTATAGCAAATTTAAAAAATAATAATAAATAAAATTAAGTAAATAATTCTTTTAAAAAATAAGTACCAGTCTAAAATGAAAAAGAATGAAACATTTATTGTGAATATTTTCACTTAAAAATGTAAACTATTATTTAATTTACAAATTTAATGTAAAGAGCTGAGAAATCTTGTTTTCTTTCTTAAATGCTATTTAGTAATTTTCTTTCAGAAAATAAGAGAAGTGTGCAGAGTTAGCAATGGATAGTCAATGGTAACGATAGGGGACCTGAAATATTTATTCTAATTCTAATAGCCCTGGATTCTTCTTCTAGGTTCCTCTTGGTGAAGCTGGTGAAGTCATATAAGAAATTATGATTTCATAATTATAAAATCAATATAAGAAAGATTCCAGAACAAATGAATTGTCAAGCAAATCGCTGGAGTCTTTTAGGAGGACTGTCTTTGTAGGACAAAATACATTTCATGGAGTCAGTATGAATCCATAGTCACCTGTGTTGAGTCTGAAGCGTCTCTTCATACATTTGCTCAAAGGCTTTTTCTCTTGTTAATGACACTATAGTACGGATATTCTCCACAGCTTCAGTTGTTATCTTATAAAATAGGACAATGAAATATAAACAAAAAATTAGAAGTAGTTCAACTTTTATGGTTGTATATTTTAGACACTTACGTTGGGGACACATTATGAACAAGTCAATACTTTTCCTGACAAGTATTCTTAGCTTATTTTTCCCCTAGCAACAAGATAAGAAAATGGCACTTCAGAATAATAGGCTTAAGGAAAGTTTGTTTTGAAAATATTTAGTCCAGAAATGGAGGATTGTCTGTTGATGATAATATGTATGATAAAAATCTTTAACTGGAAAAAAAAAGAAATAAAATATTTAGTCCACTAATCTAAGTTGAGCCCTCTTCAAGTCTTTATTGAATTTCATACTTGAATGGTTTCTACAGGCCAGGGAATCAAATATTAATGAGCATTAAGTACATATACAAAGCAGCTTCCTATCAATTATGAAACAATTCAAATAAAAGCAGAGAGAATCAAATAAATAATTATTTCATTCTAGCACAAAAATGCAAATAGCAAATAACCCAGACTCAGGAACATTCCAGTGAAATAATACGTGGTGAATCTATAACACACTTTATAAGATAAAGCTATTTCTCATTTTGATGTGTGTGAACTTAAAAATATATTTCACTTGGGACCAGCAGTTAGTGTAATGGCTATGTCGCTGGACTCCCACGTAGTCAACCGTGGTTCGGGTCCCGGACCCGGTGGCTTAAACTCACGCCGGGCGCGTGTGCGTGCGTGCCCAAGATCCTGAGAGGAGAATGGAGGAGAAGGGGTTGCGGCGTGGCCATCCCCCCTGGGGGGTGATTTCCTGCTTTCTGTCTCTCTGTCTCTCTCTGTCTGTCTGGCGAGCGCACGCGCCCTATAGCAAAAACCTCTCAAAAAAAAAAAATTCACTCAAGTATGATTAATGCTTTTCCATATTTACATAGCTTTCAAAAAGAATGCATAATTATATGAGGTCTAAAATAGAGGAGAGTTTTGGCTTAGAATAACTTTTTGGACAGGAGAACACATGTTGGCTTGAAAGAGAAACTTCCTGTTTCACCTTTTGTTTCCTGACTGGTAGAGTGGATTATGGAACAGACCAGGCCTTGATGCAAAGCCAAGTGTTACTTGGGGTCCCACTTTGGTTGTAGGACAGAATGGTATTTCTGGACTGTGATCAGGACACCTGGATTCTGCTCTTGATTTCGATGTTGAATTGCATTATTCTAGGTTGTAATTTCAAAATACACTCAAAGGAACCTCTATTTACATATTCTGTGGTATGTAAGAAAATGGATTAAAATGCTGAAGCATTTAAGAGGAAAAAGAAGACTCAACAAAAATACCTTTTAGTCATTTTTCACAATGGAGAAAAGGCTAATATCATAGAACCTTAGAAAACAGTCTTTCTTTTCTTCCTTTTTCAAAAATCATTTGTTAGCAAGTGTGAAGATCACAAGAGAGAAGGTAGTAGGAAAGAACTGTCAAGAAGGTATAGCCATGAGGCGCTCGCCCGCCCGCCCAGTGCTGCACACTCACAGTGAGTGGGTGAGCTCGGAGGTGTCGAAGGTCACCGCTGGGAGGCGGGGCGGGGGCAGCATGGTAGCCTCCTTAGGGCTCCGAGGAGCCTCCTCTGGCCTCAGGTACTAGAGCCGCCGGCAGTGGCCGGCAGCCGCCAGCCCTGCAGTAGTGT